TGTGCGGGGGTGGGTGGGTAGGGGAGGCTGGAGGAAGGTCAATGGGGGGAAAAAAGGAGACATATGTACTATTATCTGTAATACTTTAAACAATAAAATACAATTTGTTTTAATAAAAAGGAATTTTGAAACTTTAGTGACTCCTTAACCAAGGAGGCAAAAGACCTGCACACTGCAAACTACAAAGCATTGCTGAAAAAATTAAAGAAGACACAAATAAATGGAAAGACGGGGGGCAGCCGTCCCAGGGGTAGGCGGGGTCTACACCAGGGAAGGCCGAGGCCCATCGCATCTGCCCTTCACGGGGAAGCTCCCAGCCCCTGGCACCGGCGGCCAAAGCCAGAGCGCCCCCTCTCTCTGAGCCGGCCATGCTCCCACCTGCCCCAGGCTCAGCAGGCCTCTCCTGCGTCGGCCAGGGTGGGCGTGGCTGAGCCTGGTTGTGTGGCGTGGTCAGGCCATGTGTCTGGGTACCAGGTCATGGGGTGCAACATGAATTGTGGTGACGAGGGCACCCAAAGTGTGGGGAGGTTTTTATGGTAACATGGGGGAGGGCTGGCCCCAGATGCTGTAAATAAATACAGGAATCTGAGTTCAGAAAGTCCAGGTGACTTCTCTGAAGTGTCCAGAAGGTGGGCAGACACCAGGAGGTCACTTGGAAGGACACGGCAGGGGAAGCAAAGGCGAGGTCCTTGACCTCCAGGGCTCACAGTCCGAGGGTAAACACCAGACAGTCCACCGCCTGAGCCGATGGCCTGGTGCTCCCAGGCCACGGCTGTGGGTGCAGGCTGAGGAGCTGGGGGAACGGAGGGCCCCGGGCTGGGACACAGCACGAAGTGGAGCTCAGAGTCAGGTGGGAAGGCAGGCAGACATGCAAACCAAAGCCAGGGCCCCGGGCGGTAGGTCTGGCAGAGGGTGTGTGCGGGCAGTGAGGCCTGCTGTTACTGTCTAACATCCCCGGGCAAGACCCTTGACCTCGACCTCCTGGAATAGGGGCCCCAAGTACCTGGACGTTGAGCCCGCACTGCTCCATGGGTTTTCAAGAAATGGCTGAGGACAAGCTGAGTCATGGTTGCATCACCCAGGAATGTACCCGAGCCTTACTCAGTGCTGTTTTCTCCAATTTCAAAATTCCTAAACTCTACGTTCTTACACACTTCCCTCTACTTCACTTCGGGGGGAATCCCAGGCATTTAAAACAGCGGCTCTTCAGTTAGAGCCTTATTCACCCTGTCCTCTCCCAGCCGGGGTGTTTCTTCACGATTTGGGCTCTGCTTTTCCATGTAGCGTCATTTCACAGACACATCCCAGAAGTAAATGCATTGTTTTCAAGGACCATATGGCATATTCCAGGACGGGCCCTGTCCTACACTGTGGCTTGTGTTTCTGCCAGTGACTATGGCCTGGGACAAGCCCTGGCCTTCTATGGGACTCCCACCTCCTTCTTTCCTTCTCTTTCTTTCTTTCTTTCTTTCTTTCTTTTCTTTCTCTCGCTCTCTCTTTCCTTTCTTCCTTCTTTCCTTTCAAATATATGTTTTTATTGATTTTTATAGAAAGGGGAAGGGAGAGAGAAACATCGATTGGTTGCCTCCCCTATGCACCCCGACCAGGGATTGAACCCACAACCCGGTATGTGTCCTGACCGGGAATCAAACCAGCGACCTTCCTGTGCACGGAAGCAGCTCCACCAGGCGAGACGCCGGCCAGGGCTCCCACTCCTTAACTGTAAAATTCTGAAGTCCTTCCTGAGCCTTGACATCCTCTGACTTTCCCAGCATGCAACGCTGAATGGTACCCACAGCAACAGGCCGAGGGGGGAGAGACCCTGCATCTCTGGAGAACTGACTCCCTGAGGCAGGAGGGTCCTGAAGGGGAGGCAGGTGACCTCGACCCCTGTCCCTGCAGCCTGGGCAGCCAGCCACAGGAGGAAGTGGGGGTGCTTTCCCTCCCTTCCCTGGTAGTAAGGCCACAGCCCTCCAGGCCCCCCCCCTCCCGCCATGACCAAGCACTTTTGGAGCCCGGGCCCAGCCCCTGAGGACCAGCACAGTGCTGAGTCACGGTGGGACAGCAGCTTCCACCCCCACCCCACCCCTGAGTCCTCCAGAAACCACCCCCTGCACCCGCTCGTCTCTGCCTGAGGCTCCGCCCACCAAGGCTGCTGCCCTGGAGGCCAGCCAACTCCCCGCCTCAGAGTCACGAGGAGCTGGGCCCAAGGGGAGGGAGGGAGGCTGAATCCTGGTCAACAAAGGTCCAAAGACCAGGCCTGGCTTCGGAAGACTCTAGAAGCTCGGAGTTGGCAGTTCTGACACCCTGGGTTCCCAGAAAGTGGACATGCCCTAAGCAACACACACACACCCCAGCACAAGATGTTCCTTTCACTCTTCCCAGCTGGCCTCCCCGTGGCCGTCCACAGTGACCACCACAGCCCCGCTGTCCCTCGGCTTTGCCGCGAACTCCTCTGCAGCTGCGGTGTGCAGCCCGTCCCCATGCACAAGGCCGCCTTTCTGCAGCCGCCAGCCGCATTCCTGTGGGCCCGGCTTCCCGCAGGCTCCGTCCACCTAGGTGTCCTGGAGGCCCCAGACTCGACACCTCCAGTCCGAAACCTCGCTGGCCTTCCCCCACACTGCATATCCTCCATGAATGGCAGCGGCAGCCCAGGCAAGAAGGCGGGGGCTCTCCTGCCCGCCTCCCACCCCTCACCTCTACCCCCCACGATAGCCACTCAGCCACCTCACCCCGTCCAGTCTTCCCCAGGTCGCCCTGACCCGCCTCTGTTCCTCGGCTCAGTGAGAACTCGGGCTGCTGCCTCCCAGCCAGTACCCAGCCCTCTGGCCCGACCCCATCCATCCTCCACATTCAATCCACGCGGCCATCTGTTCATTCCACAAACACTGAGCACCTAGCAACAAGCACCTTGCAAAATGCTTGGAGCCCAGGATGAAGCCGGAAGTGGTGCCGGCCCTCCGGCAGCTCACTGCAGCGGGGAAGGAGATCAGAAAGGCATTCTGGGGTCTGACTTATACAAATGGACACACATCATGGCTATTCACCTTCACTACCGATGGGAGCCACAAATAGCAACTGTTGGCCATTTGAACTTGAACTTTATGGCATCTTTTGTCTTACAGCTTGTCGTTTTTTCAGCGTCAGATCTGCCAACTGTCCCTTTATGGCCTTTGACAGCCTCGGAAGAATACACCCGACCCCCAAATGCTAGGAACATCTTCTGTATATTCGAGTGACTTCGTAGGCCTCTTGCTTTTAGGCTCGGCTCTGTCATCCGTCTGGAACAGTGTTTTGAAACACAGTGAGTCACTGTCTTCCGCGTGACTGTCCATTGTCTCAGCGTGATTTGTGGAGCCCGTACTCGCTTCCCTAATTTAAAATGCTGCCTCAGCATCTACCCAGCTGCCTTTCAGGGCGGGCAGGGCTGTGCTGTTGCTGGTGTACCCGTCTCTTCCTGTGCCGGCACCAACCGCTCCCAGTATCTCGTGGTGCTTTTTAAACTATGTGCCCAGAGGGCGCATCTACCCTCGTGCCCGCCCCCCCAATGCTTATCATTTATTCTATACACTTTCTCTTCCAAATGAACGTCAGAAATTGTCAATTTCCCCCAAACCGCTGAGTTTTCTAGAAACTGCATTGAATATATAGGTTCGTCTTAGGAGAACTGACATCTTTACAAAACGGAGGTTGGCCGTCTGGAAACACGGTCTCTGGTCTCTTCGTTGCTGCTGGTTTCCGTACCTGCCCGCAGTCCACACTTCTAGTTCCCGCCCCACACTCCTTGTTGACTGTACTCCCAGGACTGGAAGCGTTTGCTGCCAATGTAGAACGTTTTTCCTTTCATTACATGTTCTAACTGGCGGTGACTTTTATACAGGAAAACTTTGCAAAGGGTGACTTTGCTGTACTCTTATCCTAATTTGTGTTTCTGTTGATTCCGGGTAAGGTTTCGGAAGACAAAACCAGCCGGGTATCTCCCTAGAAATCCCCTCGTGTCTCATGTCCCCCGACAACATTTAACCCCATTTAACCCCTTCTAGGGCACCGGGCCTTCCTGGCCTGGCCCTGCACCCCCCGCCCCGCCTCCTCCAGCAGGACTCTGCTCTCCAAGCCAGCGACTGCCCAAGGCACCTTGGACTCCGTGCCTGCTCACACCTTAGGGAAAAAGGTGCCTGCTCACACCGTCAGTGCTCACGCCTTGGACACCGTGCACGCGCACGCCTTCACGCCCGTGTGCGCGCTCACACCTTCACGCCTGTGTGCGCGCTCACGCCTTCACGCCCGTGTGCACGCTCACACCTTCACGCCCGTGCGCGCGCTCACGCCTTTACGCCTGTGTGTGTGTGTATGTGTGTGTGTGTGTTCACGCCTTTACACCTGTGCGCGTGCCCTTCTCTGCCGGGAACCCCTCCTCCCACTTCACCTTTAACTGGTTCTTCCCTCTTGGCCGAGCGCCCCTCCTGGGGAGGCCTTCCGGGACCCCTGCACCTGCCCCCCCAGCACCTGTTGGCTTCCTGTAGCAGAGCTCTGCCCGCCCCCCACCTTCTCCCGAAGGTGACAGCGCGCGTTTAGAAATGAACAAGGACCCGAGAGAGGGCCACGTCCCAGCAGCCCCTGTTTGAATATTTTAATGGTGCCCCCCCACCCCCACGCGCCTTTCTTTAAGGTTAAGTCCAGCTTCCAGCTTCACGTTTGTGAGGGTCCTGAGCGGGCGAGGCGGTGGGATGTGGGGGCGGGGGTCCTGGGCAGGTCCCCACCCCCCTGCCCAACACAGTA